AAGAAATATTGTTATAATATTCAAGAATCTGTCGCTTCAACCTATATTAAATATTGCAAAAAAATATTACTGTAATATTTGTGTGCTATCTGGGTATCGCCCATGCAACCGTGAATTTGATCGCCGGATTTCTGCTTTGTGATGTGATAAATTGTGCAAAAATCGATTTAATTCGTGAGGATCAACTCACTTTTATTCCACACTTGAAAAAATAATTGCGAACTTTTTCGCATCTTTCCACGGACTTTTTATGGAGTCGCATCTTTGGATCACCGTGTATGATTTGCAATTAGTTTGGGGGAAATTAAAAACAATCCAATCGCGATCGAGCGCGATTACCGATACCAAATCGATTAACTGTTTGGCGTTTAATCATAATCACGCGGAATTATGCTGGAGTTGGAGATTGAATTTTTTAAATCCAATAGAGAAATATGGGTCGTTGATTCGTCCACACCCTCAGCCAGGCAAACCGTCTACCTGTTCAACTTCCGGTAATTAACGCTATTGCGTCAGAAAGCTGATGAAACCTTTACAACTCGGCTATTTTAAGGCTTCCCACTGTTTATGGACACGCAGCAAACTCACTAAAATTGCTTCTGAAAAACTCACCTCGCTCCTTCAAAGGGGTGAGAATCATCGTGTCCAAGAGCGATTTTTTCCTTTCAATATTTTTGTCCATCATTCAGCAAGTGCAGCTAATCGGTCCCACTCACTAATCACTCATTGGCAATCAAGGTGTACTGTTGAATCTGTTGTACTCAGCTTGCCCTATTTATTTACCGTATGTAAACCGATTGTTTTTCAAATATCACAAATTTGTTTTGGATTCGCGCAACTCCGCTTTGCCTTGTTTCAATTCCACGTTGAAGGTGAAGGCTTCTATTCAACCACTATGATGTAATCAGGTTTTTTTCGGTTTTTCTTTAATTAACTGGGCAAAAGCGCTGTCGCGATTGGTGGCCGCCTGCCTGCGAACTAATTGTGCTTTAGCGAAGGCAGAGTTTCATTCATTATTTGCCGAAACGATCGAAAAAGCGAGTACGTGACGCTGGTAGATTGTCACATGTACGAATGCGAGTCCGAAAGAATGATGACTGCCAACGGCTAGCTAACCAACCATGATCCGAAAATACATTCAAAGCTCAGCCTTTGCGAATTCCTGGAGATTGTTATGCACGGATCAGTACGATCGCTATTTTAGTTGCCACTGCTTTAGGCACAATTATCTCAGTAGTTGCAGCAAAACGGTATATGTACATTTAGGGCCATCGTTTTTCGTTATCTTATCTTGTTGACTTGCTGGAAAACGGTTCAACTAGCTGAAAAATCCGCCAAAAATCTACTAAATGTGCAAAGTGCCGCCAATCAATCGGGGGTAATCCTCCTATTTTTAGGAGGACGCCTCTATTATATTTTTTACGTTTTCCTTAATGTTTCATCGCTAATTTTAGACCGCGGCAATGACTTGACAATGTGTTGAAAGTCACGCAAAAATCGCTTCACACTAAGACGCAGCGTGTTGTTTGCCTGCAGTTTTCGGGAAATGCATTTTGCATAAATTTGAGCAATTTTCTCATGTTTGCCAACCGCAAATGTTTGAGTATTCAGCGTCGCAATGTCGCCGAGACACCAGACTTTGCTACCACATTTCGTAGCGTCAGGTAGTTGATTCATGGAATTCATATTTATCTGCCCGAATTCTCACCTCTCAATGGGGTGTTTTTGTAGCCCTCTAAGCCATGCCATTGTTAGTAGAAGATACTTTTTAGGCCAATTAAACTGTGTTTAGAAACCCGGGAACAATTCCTTAAGAATGACCTGAACCATCTCTTGATGGGTTGGGGATTTGTTTTGTATCGTTCAAAATCCCGCTCTAAAACTCCAGTCTGTTTTGCCATATTTATTTAGACATCTTCAGGGTCAATTCGTCAATTTGCATTGCAAGATTTGTCATTTCCAATGATTATTGATTGGCTCTGTCGTGGATTTTTGATCGACTTGTGCTGTCTTCTTCTTGAAACAGCCATTTTTTGAGAGGCTTTATATTAGGTAATTTATATTATTAATTCATCAGTTCTTTCCCTTTTGATTTGTTTTAATACTGTTGGGTTGGTTCTTCTATCGACTCATGATATTCTCAACATCGGTCAGTAGAGCCGAATGCTCCTATGATGTAATTGGTAGTTTTCTTTAAAATTTTTCAATTTGAGCATTAGCTGTCGAAGCGGTCTCATCTGCAGACATGACGTTATCATCTGCATAGCGAAGATGATTTAGTCGCGCGCTGATTGAATTTTTATTATTTTCTAGAGCTTTTCTAATATTTCTTCGGTGTGCAGATTAAATATCAAATAACAGATTGACGAACCTTGTTGCTTCACCTACAGTCCTCCTCAGATCATCATCACTTTTTACCTACTTTTTTGTTCCAATACTGTTTCGTTGGTCTTTCCTTATCTTCCAAAGATTCGGTAAATATTATATTATTAATTCTATAGTATAAGTATATATTATCTTCTGAATACAAGCTCTGTTCGCGTCCAGTATAAGATGTGGACAATTTTTAGATTTTTATCGTCCATTCCGGTTTCTTTTAGCGCCTCAGCATCTTCTGTTCCAGAATTTTGTCAAACATCTTTCGGAAGCTGATAAAGTAGGAAGAAATGTCGCAATTTATGGCCCAGCATCTTGGGATGCTTCTGCTGCTGGATAGTTCTTGCAGACTGAATAGGGTGTTTTCACTTTTTTTAAATGTTTATATAGAGAAAGTAGTTATGGCAAACTTTACACTGATAATTTTTTTTGCAAAAAAGTGTATAATAATTTCAAAGTGAATTTAAATTCAAATCATATATTTTCCGCCAAAAACGCCGAATCCGTATCGTCGGTTGCCTATACCGATTGTGACGTAGCAGGTCATATCAACAAAGTGTCTTGTGTTTATTTTGTTGTTTTCGCAGCTTTGTTTTATTATTTAAGTTATTGCCATTATCATTATATTATTGATTATTATTATCTTGCATTATGGAAAATAGTGGCATGTATGGATCACAAAATAAGTGGTGTCTTGTGCCAGGATGCACCTCAATAAGTGCTGCAAACAAATTTATTCTAACCGTTCCTCATGATTATGCACGTAATGTTTTATGGTTCAAAGCAGCTAGACGTGATGTTCCTAAATCAAAATCAATGTTTTTTTGTTGTGAGGATCATTTTAATGAAAGTACGAACAAAAAGCTAATGATGAGGCAGATAGAATATGCCTTCGATCGTACTCTGTGTTCTGGGAAAATTCTACCTTGTACAGTACAACAACCCTCGCGTTTCAATTCAACATATCCGATATCACCATATTGTTCTCGTGATGTCCAAAATACAAATTTAAGAGTTCCTTTTACTTTTAAAGCAGCCATATGTATACGTTAGGTTAAGTTGAATAAGTGAAATTCTATATATTATTTACGTAATTTAAACCAATACAGACAGATCAGTATATTAAGGAGAGAGTAACTAATAATGAATTTACGTATTTTTACTTACGCTGCTGCTTTGACACCCTTAAATTCGGCTGAATTAAAGCGTTTGTCGTTTTTTAAAAATTCGGTAACCATGAAAATGTGTAGTTTTTTTTTTTAGTTTAACACAAACTATAAATTATTTAAATCCGCAAAATAACTAATGAAACACAACCACACAACTAAACACTATGCACAGAACGTAGACAATCCGCCATTTATATGACTAGAGACGTCACAATCAATAGGATTGCGATCTAGAGATTCATGAATAATTTGAATTTTAGCTGAATTTCTTTATTAAATATTTAATAAAATAGCAATAGATAGATAGTATAAACTTATTTAATCTTTCATATATGTATTTACCATAGATTAATGTTCAGTTTGTAGGAATTTTTGATACAATGAAAACACCCTATTCTGTGTTACTGTTGACTATGTCTTCGGGTATACTGTATTCTGCAAGAGGTTATTTAAGGAAATGTTGTCTAAATGGCTCATTAAGCTGATGGTATCAATTATTTATACGAAAGCTTGATCCTCCGTCTGTATTCCGGCCAGTTCTTAAGCTTTTCCTTCGCGCAACAATTTTATGACTGCTTCAATCTGATTTACAGTTATTGGTGGTCGATTTTCTGTTAATAGAGTAAAATGATCTTCTCATTTATTCATTCTTCAACACTTTCTTCATTCATAGAAAATTCTTCGTTGTCCTTGACTAGTTTTCCAACTGTTCTCCCTATGTAATTGCATGTGATTTTGTCTTTTTTCTTTATTTTTCTACATTTGTCATCCAGGGCTTCACTTGTTCGGCCTATTATTAGTTACTTTCAGATGGCTCTCAGTTGCTCACGTTCAAGTCGTTCTACCTCCATTCTCCATCTAAACATTGTTGCTGTTTTATTTGGAGATTTAGTAGGCTCTAATTCGGCATTGGTTCTGTTCAAGCCACTCCACATAAAAGTTGCAAAAAATGGCTAGATAAACAAAATATTCCCGACCCTAGACTTTAGGAGAATTTGGATGTTTTGCAACCGTACGTAAAATATGACTGATGATGACTGACAATGAGCGTAAATCCTCTAAAAGAATCATTGAAGGAAAGCTAAAGATAAAACCATAAATGCTGCATTCTTCTACATAGAAACCTTGCTGAAAATATTTTAGAAAAGTTGTTCAAATTGCGCGGAAAATCTACCCAATTTATTACGATGGCGAGCAAAAGAGATTCCACGAGAGTCTTCACAGATTGATTAATGTATTTTCTTCAATTTATGGGTTATGAGTATTTCCTTAACTCGTTCACTACAGTTTTGTCCCACCATCTTCATATGAACTGGCATTTTCTTAAAACTGCGTCTTTATTACTTCAGGTTTTTGTCGTCATTCTCGACCTCTTCGTCGTCTTCAGGTCGTCGTTGATGAGATGAGATCTTTGACTATTTCTTCCATTTTTTCCATTCCTTCGAAGTAAGCCTCTTTCATCTTAGACTACTTTGTCAGCTTTATCAGTCTGTGCATAGGAAATTCTAATGGAGTCATAATTAAACACTAAAAAAACTTGAACCGAAAAAACAACTCTTGTAGGAAAACTTCCTAAAACTCCTTTCTACTTGCCCAAACGATGATGTCTCAAAACTAAGCAAAACCTGCAATAATCTCGAAAACCATGATTGCGGACGACACCAGCATAAAGACACCAGTTGAACAGATTGATCGAACAAAATGTATTCAAAGACTAAATAGTTCTTCATATTGCTGGTTCATCATATAGGAAATTGTTTTCAGCGCCAGGTTTTCTCTTCTTTACCATCTTCTACTTCGTAATGGGACTTGACTTGACGAAAAAAGCCTTCGAAGTAAGCCTTATTCATCTTTGACTTTTTCATCAGCTTTATCAGTCTGTGCATATGAAATTCTTTTTGAGGCATAATTTAACACTATAAAAAATTTCAACCGAAAAAACAACTCTTGTAGGAAAAGTTTCTAAAACTCCTTTGTACTTGCCCAAACGATGATCTCTCAAAACTAAGCAAAACCAGCAATAGTGTCGAAAAACATGTTTGCGGACGACACCAGCATAAAGACACCAGTTGAACAGATTGATCGAACAAAAT